GTTGGATGATCCAGAAGATACATGTTCTGATGATAGAAATCCTACAGATGGTGTTGACGAATGCTGCGATAACATAGATCCTACAGATACTATTGATATACGTTCAGATGCGACAATAACATATTCAGAAATGCCAAGTATTGGAGAAGAAAGTAATTCTGATGAAGATCAATATTTTTCAGAAACTGATGAGATATCGCATAGAAACAATGATCAAAGTAATGACTGGGTACCTGGACCATCTGTGAGGAATCACATCACCTGAAACTGTAAAGCTACGTTCACACCTGAAAAATATTTGGTCCAAATATTTGTAATAAAATATTTTGAAGTTGCGTCAAACACACGCAATATTTATTTCATGTTCAGACTTGAACAAATATTTGGTGGTACTGTTTTATCAAACAGTGCAAAAATAATTTGGTTCAACACACACATGTTTTACAGCCACACATGCATGAAAAAAACAATTTACCAATTTGTTTTAATTTTAACTATTTTTATTAGGTTTAAAATTAAATTTATATAATAAGTGTATAATATTAATATATAACACGATTGAAAAAACTTTGTCGAATCTGAACATAAAATATTTCATGTTAACAAACAGCAATGCGGATGATTTTTATAAAACAAATTGATTTGCTGCCAAATAAATATTTTCTAATTGTTTCATCAATGTGAACACCATAAGTCAAATAATTTACATCATTTTGCTGGCAAAATAATTATTTGATCTTACAAACCAAATGTAAGATCAAACAGGTCAAATAACAGCTGTTCTTTGTTTATTTTCTGAAAAAGAGTGTTATCACCTCATACAAAAATGTCAATAGTCGCTAAAATGACTGTCTTTTATTTTTTATAAAATAGATATCTGAGACAAAGTAGTTGTGACATTTAATAGAAATAAGCAATTGCGTAAATTAAAGATAATTATTATTTTTGTTGTTTATTTTGTTATTAATTGGTTGACAACAACATACAATATAGGGTAATTTCAAAAATTTTCAAACAAAAAAGGATTTTGAATTTTTTTCAACAAGTATTAAATTTGACGTATATTTTCATAATTATTTATCCGATTTTAATCGTTTAGTCCCCAATTAAAGCCAATGTCTTGTAGATCGACAATATTTTATTTAAAATATTACATTTTTAACGTGAGGATGATGACATCAAATAACGTCTTTTAGTCAAGGATATCTCAAAAAAGGTACCTTCCATTTTCTTTATTCCTTCACATAAGATTGCTTATAGTGTACTCAACAATATATACAGTGTCTCTCATAATTATTCGAATTTTGGTAAACTATAAAAAGAAACCAAATTTAATAATATATTTTGTGTGCAAAACAAATAAATTAATTTGTTATATTGTCTAGATAGTGCTTATGTTTGATATCACACTTTTTAAAACTTGAAAAATTTGCATTGACTTAAATTAATTGTGCTTTTTTTAAAAAAAGTCCATGAAATTGCCTCACAAAAGTATACGAATTTTTCCTGTATTTCATATTTGATCATATTATACGCAACACAAATTTTAGAATCGAATGGTTTTTATGCGTAATATTGTTTTAAGGGGTTACTATCCACGGAAAGCATATATTTTTGGTCCACAATTTTGGGGAATTTGGACCCTCTTTTCAAGTAAATCATTAAAATGGCGTTTTTGGCCATAATTGTAAATTTTTCTCCTTATTTCCAGAGATAAAACAAAAATTTGATATTGGGACTTATAAGACCCCTTGGGGTATATAAAAATAATATTTTTTGTTACAAGAATCTGTATTTAAACGTTCCAAGATAAATTATTCGGATCATTCTTCTGTCGCTAATTCAATATATTGGAACTTAAGTCCATTTTTATAATACTAGGATCAACTATTTTCGGGGAAGTTTTCTGGTATATATTCTTTTAGATATCAGCTTTTATACATTTTAAGTTTTCAATGTGTTGTGGAAGTGTACAACTCCAAAACATGCCTCGAAGAAACACCATTCAAAATAGTAAAATCATTATTTTTAGATACCAATGGCCTCCATGCTGCATGGCACGATATCATTATGATCTAACTCAAAAATATTGATATATGTTTAAATATTATTTACTATGATCAAATTAAAACCAAAATTTTGGACTTACAGTGTTATTGTAACGGGCAACATAAGCGTGAAAGTTACGAGTAGTAAAAACTGAAATCTACTATATAGGATGACGTTTTATTAAGGTATGTTTTGGGGTTGTATACCGCTATAATATATTGAAAATTTAAAATATATTAGTGCCAATATGTACATGAATATACACTAGACAACTTTGTCGGAAAATATCGTCCCTAGAGGTACGAAAAGGGACTTATGATCCAGATAATTCAATTAGAAACTGAAAAACGATACCAAAAATACATCTTGGAACGTTTAAGTACAGATCTTTATAACAAAAAATATTATTTTTAGATACCCTATGGGTTCTATTAAATTCCAATATTAAATTTTAGTTTTATCTCTGGAAAAAGGGTGAAAACATTACAAATATATCCATGCGGTCCCCTTAAAACAATATTAAGCATAAAACCATGCGATTCTAGAATTTGTGTATCGTATAATATGATCAAATATGAAATACAGGAAAAATTCGTATACTTTTGTGAAGTAGTTCCATGGACTTTTTTTAAAAAAGCACAACTAATTTAAGTAAATGTAAAGTTTTCAAGTTTTAAGGGGCGTGATATCAAAACTAAGGACTATCTAGACAATATAACAAATTAATTTATTTATTTTCCACACAAAATATATTATTAAATTTGGTTTTTTTCATAGTTTACCTAAATTCGAATACTTATGAGAGACACTGTATGTATGTATGTACATACATACATACATTAGGAAAAAATATAAAATTATATTTTTAGATTCAGCATTCTTTGTTTGTATGACGAAAATAGATTATATCAATTTTATTTTTAAAGATTTTTTAATATGTTTAAATAATTTTTATATTTTTAGTGAAAATGTTGTCATCAACTACAAGAAATCAAAAATATTTCGTGTGCAATTATTACTAAAAATTATTTAAATTTTCTAAATAAATAAGTATTAAACAAATAGAAAAGATTTGGCTCAAAACGTTCATTTAGGAAATTAAATCAGAAATTGTAATAGTTTTTAGTTATTACTCAATCCATAAAGATTCCTAACTCATGTCTCTGTAACTCTGATCGATGATCAAAATGACAAACTTTTGACCACTGCAGTCTCATTGGAAGAGAAATAAATAAGAATCGAAAATATTTATTAAATTCGTACAAATATTCGAAAGTAACCTTGACATCGGGGAAACAGCTCCAACAGAGTTTCCGAATAGGGACAGTTGGCTGGATCCGATAAGCTGTTCGAGAGATGTTCGATGGATATTGGCATAGTTATAAGAATTACCTTTAAACTGCCAGACGAATGTAGTGCTATACATGTGGAAATCTGGAAAGCAAAGGAACTGATATTGAATCACATTAATAGGGAGTCTGTTGTGATAATTTATGTCGATAGTCAGACTGACAATCTTTGGCCGATTATGACTCGGGTCGATGGCTATATCTGCGACCGTTTGAATAAGACCCTCAGCCCAAATTATGGCATACGATATCGATTGAAATCTCAGTAAAATCTAAATGGAGATTTCGATCGATATCGTATGCCATAATTTGGGCCTGGCTCTCGTTCGAGTACATTTTCCAGAGGGAAATTATACGAAATAACTCCAAGCCGAATGAGCGTTTCATATACATATTACGTGTTCTCATGCTATTGGCCTCATGCTCTGATAGAGCTTATGAGACTGTTGGATATCTGGATATCGTAATATGTATGAACTTTCAAGATAAGATTTTAAAGTAGATCTAAATGGAAGGGACAGTTGTAAAAACACTAATTTTTCATTAATCTCTGAAAGATTCCGTAACTCTCTCAACCAGCCCTAGAATAGTAATATGGATAGAAAAGTGTCCTAATATTTGAAGCAAAAGATAGTTTTGGGATATGACAACCGTAGTAGAATCCTTCTTCCTAATCCTAAGCTTAAGAAATATGTTCCACGGAAGCATTGCTGGGTGTAAACCATGCAGTCTACTAGGATTTATTTGGGGAATAAACCGTTTTCGACTGGTAGACTATAGCCAGTAGTCGGATCTCCTAACACACTTCTACCAACTTGAAATCTGAATCTAGGTATTGTCTATTCAGAAGCTAAGTTACGTAGGTCATTGTTCTCATTCTATACCACTCTTTCGCTCTCTGCATTAAATTTATTTTTTCTCCTTTTTCATTCTACCAGAAGTAATCAGAATGGATCACAGCCTCGTATGTACATATGTATGTCAGTGTGAAGTTGTATTTTAGATGTGCAGAATCCTCCGAAATCTTTTACAAATATTTCTTACATCAATATTTCTTGATCTCACATTTGTCTTCCGTTTCATAAAAATATGACAAATTGCAAGTCATGGGTATTTCAAGAATGTTCGTTTTTACTTCTGACAAACAGAGAAGAAACATTTTCCAATATGAAATATGTATGTATGTATGTACATACATATGTATGTATATGAAATCTTATTTACAGTTTTCCTATTCAATATTCGAACATATTAGTTTGGGTAAGGTAGGTCAGTAATTTTAAAGAGATTTGGAAAGACAATCTAAGAGTGAAATATATATACGATACAAACATAGATACACTTTATTCTCTCTTCTTAAATGCATATGTAAACACACACAACAAATACATGCTAAACTCTCTTTTGTATCTCTCTGTACAATTTGTTTTGAACAAAAATATTAAAAAATATTTGCACACTAATACTAATACAATATGTATCTACAATTTTCATGAAAAATCTGGCAAAATTCTCGAATTTTCTCTTAATTGAACGCAAACAGAGTCAGCGAGTATAAAAGGCCAATGCATACCGTCAGTCGTCACATTTAAGTACAAGAGATCAAAGTGAGAAGTTTTTTTAAAGCGAAAAAGTTAAAGTGAATTTTTAAATTCTAACTAAAAAGTATTTAAAAGTTGCAAACAATAAAAGAAAGTAATTGAATAATTAACAATTTAAGTGAATCAAAAAAATAAAATAACAACTGAAAACAAAATGGTAGCAATTGGTATTGATTTGGGTACAACATACTCCTGTGTTGGTGTATTCCAACATGGTAAAGTGGAAATCATAGCCAACGATCAAGGCAATCGCACAACACCCAGTTATGTTGCCTTCACAGATTCGGAGCGTCTTATTGGTGATGCGGCCAAGAATCAAGTTGCCATGAATCCACAGAATACAGTATTCGATGCAAAACGTTTAATTGGCCGCAAATTCGAAGATCAAAAGATTCAGGATGACATGAAACACTGGCCCTTCAAAGTGGTAAATGATTGTGGAAAGCCAAAGATTTCAGTAGAATTTAAGGGGGAACAAAAGAAATTTGCTCCCGAGGAGATTAGTTCCATGGTGCTGACAAAAATGAAGGAGACAGCTGAAGCGTTTCTAGGCACAACAGTGCGCGATGCAGTCATTACAGTGCCAGCCTACTTTAATGATTCCCAGAGACAAGCCACCAAAGATGCTGGAGCCATTGCTGGTCTTAATGTATTAAGAATCATCAACGAACCGACAGCAGCTGCTTTAGCTTATGGCCTGGACAAAAACTTAAAGGGTGAACGTAATGTTCTAATCTTTGATTTGGGTGGTGGCACTTTTGATGTTTCCATTCTCACCATCGATGAGGGTTCATTGTTTGAGGTACGTGCTACAGCTGGCGATACTCACTTGGGTGGTGAAGATTTTGACAATCGTTTAGTCAATCACTTTGCCGAAGAGTTCAAACGTAAATACAAAAAGGACCTGCGTACGAATCCCAGAGCTTTACGTCGCCTAAGATCAGCAGCTGAACGTGTCTAAACGTACTTTATCATCCAGTACTGAGGCTACAATTGAGATAGATGCTCTGTTCGAGGGTGTGGATTTCTATACTAAAATAAGCCGAGCTCGTTTTGAAGAATTATGTGGCGATTTGTTCCGCAACACTTTGCAGCCTGTAGAGAAAGCCTTAAATGATGCTAAAATGGATAAGAACCAAATCCACGATATTGTCTTAGTAGGTGGTTCTACACGTATCCCTAAAGTCCAAAATCTACTGCAACAATTCTTCTGCGGAAAAACTCTCAACTTGTCCATTAATCCTGATGAAGCTGTGGCCTATGGTGCCGCCATTCAAGCAGCTATTCTCAGTGGCGACAAGAGCAGTGCCATACAAGATGTTTTGCTAGTAGATGTGACACCTCTTTCATTGGGCATTGAAACAGCTGGTGGTGTAATGACTAAATTAATTGAACGCAACAGTCGCATACCCTGCAAACAATCCAAGACCTTTACCACATATGCTGACAATCAACCAGCTGTAACGATACAGGTCTTTGAAGGTGAACGAGCCCTGACCAAAGACAACAATCTTCTGGGCACCTTCAATTTAACTGGAATACCGCCAGCACCTCGTGGGGTTCCTAAAATAGATGTTACATTTGATTTAGATGCTAATGGTATTTTGAATGTAACAGCCAAAGAAATGAGCACTGGTAATGCCAAAAATATTGTCATCAAAAATGATAAGGGTCGCTTGTCCCAAGCCGAAATAGATCGTATGGTCCGTGAAGCTGAACAATATGCAGATGAAGATGAAAAACATCGTCAACGTATAGCAGCACGCAATCAATTGGAAGCTTATGTATTCAATGTCAAACAATCTACCCAAGATGCAGGCGATAAAATCCCCAAATCCGATAAAGATCGTGTCATGGAGAAATGTGAAGAAACCATTAAGTGGTTGGACAACAATACCACCGCTGAAAAAGAAGAATACGATTACAAATTGGAGGAATTAACTAAATTGTGTCAACCCATTATGACAAGACTACACCAGCAGGCTAGTGGTGGAGCTGCTGGCCCGCAAGCAGGTCCTGGTTGTGGTCAACAAGCTGGAGGTTTTGGTGGTCAAAATTATGGTTGCCCAACTGTGGAGGAAGTAGATTAAAAAATTTAATTTATTATTTTATTTAAGCATTTTTTATTTGAAGAGACTGAATTTATGAATTCGAATAAGTTTAAAAATTACTAATTTATTTACTGAAATTTATTGTTTTAAGTGTTAACTTAATTTTAATAAGTTTATGTATACGTATTAGTTTTTAAGTTAATTATTTTAAGAAAATTTCCAGATATTTTCTTAAATATATATTTTTGTTACAAAAAATTTAACAAAAAGTTGTTTTATATTTTTTTTTCAGGAAGTTAGTTAAATTTGGTGTACATTTTCAGTTTAAAAATGGCCTTACAAAATAGGAAGGAAGTACCAAAGATGGAGAAAAAGTGAGAATTTCTATTGCGCCAATTGTTCCTAGAATATTTTTATAATCACCCCTATTCTGCATTTCAATTCGAATACAAATTTTCTACTTTTCTCAACTTTGGTATTCTGCATTTCGATTCAAAGATCCGTCACTGAAATAACAACTTACAAAAACGTAGTTACGATCCTAATGAAGAATACACGTAAAACTTTTCCAAAAATAGAGAATTGCATATTTATAAAAGTCCTTTCTGAATCTTTGTCCGATTGGGAATCGGGTCGTTCCGCAGCGAAGATCCAATTGTCGGGGGAACGTAGGAACTGAACGACAGCCTCTTTCACTTCTCTTTGCACGCCACCTACATTTACCATAAAGTGAAATCTAGAAATAAAGTCTTAAAGGCACTCGCTGACACCTCCTAGGGAATGGATAAGGAGACAATCACTGCGACATACAAAGCAATTGGTCGCAGTGACACACAAGATGACAAACGGCACCTACACAAGCTGGATAGACAATTCCTGGTGACATGTCATCAGCCATCCCATTTCAACCATCAACTTTTGATAGAAGATCCCCCCTCGACACATTCGGTCAGACTTTCGGCGTTATATTGGAGACTTCCAGGACGTCATCTTATCAGACGTCGACAAATTGTCAATAATAATCGTACAGAAGGCATTGAACCAAAAGGCTGTCACAGAAGCCATTAACGGCTATAGGTACAATAACATTCGAGTCTAAACATTTTTAATAATAAAATAAAAAAAACATTTTTGTTTCAGAAAATCAATAAAAAGCTCATGACATCATGTTTAGTTTCTAATTATATATTCACCGAGACAAACAGTATTAACAACATTAAAATTGTTTTCAGTTTTAAGCAAACTTTTGTTAATATCAAAATTTATTAATATCAAAACACGGCAGTTGAAATTTTCAATTAAATACTAAAACATTTACTTAGGTAAACCTTCCTTTTCAGCATATTCCAACCAAGAACCCACATAGTTTTTGGTATTTTCATAGCCAAGAGTTCTAGCTAATTCAGCAGCACTCTGTGATCTCTTACCCGATCTGCAATGGAAAATAATTTCCGAATTTTTTTCCGGCTTATCACGACCATATTTTGCCTTAAAAGCAGCTTTATCTACACTATCAGCCAATTCTTGGCCCACCTGTCCCAGGGGAATATTAATGCTGTTAGGTATTTTACCAGTTTCTTGTAATTCTTTAGGTTCTCTAACATCAATTAAAAGTTCTGCAGATTGATTTGTTAATTTTTTAATTTCTTCATAAGTAACAATGGGTATATTTTTTCGCCCATAGTCGAGTATTGTTGTTTGGCAAAATTGACACTGTTTAAGGATTTGCTGGCCGTTGTTAGGAATGATAAGTTTTGTCTAGACAATTTTAGTGGTATGGAACTTGTGCCAGTTCTGACTGCTTTAAGGCAAGTCATTCTATTCAATTGTCTCAAAAAAGTTCTTGTGGCCATTGTGGAGAATTTTAATTAGCTAAAAAAAACAGAATTGTTAAAGAATAACAATATTTTAGGAAATATTTATTGTATTTATTATATAATCTCTGGAATCTTACCGATGGTGGTGCGTGTATGTACTACAGTTGTTGATTGTTTGTATTTTGCTCGAATAGTATAAATAATTAATATGTATGAACAAAAACACTATTTTGCTTTCGTTCCCACTACATTAATTAGCTAAAAAAAACAGAATTGTTAAAGAATAACAATATTTTAGGAAATATTTATTGTATTTATTATATAATCTCTGGAATCTTACCGATGGTGGTGCGTGTATGTACTTCAGTTGTTGATTGTTTGTATTTTGCTCGAATAGTATAAATAATTAATATGTATGAACAAAAACACTATTTTGCTTCTGTTCTCACTACAACTAATAAATAATGTGCGTAAAACTAACATTTAAATTTTACAAATTGTTCAACATGTGTGTAGATATGAGTTGCTATAAGTTATTTTTAATAATAGCATAATAATGCAATATACATACATATTTAGTAAACTTTCATTAAAACATTTGAATTTGTTAAAACTGATAATTATCTATCATCTGTCTGCTATCTATCTATCTATCTATCTAGAGATCGATAGCTATCTATCGAGCGATGCGAGCGAGCGAGCGAGCGAGCGAGCGAGCGAGCGAGCGAGCGAGCGAGAGAGCGAGCGAGCGACGAGCGAGCAGCGAGCGAGCGAGCGAGCGAGAGCGAGCGAGCGAGCGAGCGAGCGAGCGAGCGAGCGAGCGAGCGAGCGAGCGAGCGAGCGGAGCGAGCGAGCGAGCGAGCAGCGACGAGCGAGAGCGAGCGAGCGAGCGCGGCGAGCGCGCGCGAGCGCGCGAGCGAGCGAGGAGCGAGCGAGCGAAGCGAGCGAGCGAGCGATCGAGGAGCGAGCGAGCGCGCGGCGCGCGCGAGCGAGCGAGCGAGCGAGCGAGGACGAG